TCCGCGGGAGCTGGTTCCACGTTCGCGCGAGGAGAAAGACCCCCCAGGAGGGCCTGAGTTCGACGCCCGGCCTCTCCCGACCCGCGGCTGCGACAGCCCGTCGGAGGCGGAAGTTTATTGAGTAGGGGGGAAAACACCACGGGAAGGGAGGAGGAGGCTCTGCCCTAGGATGCTTCCTACCCGCTCGGACTCGGGAAATTCCAGGCGCCCGCGATGCAGAGCTGACGGCCGAAGAGGAGCTACCTCGGGCCAGCCCAGACCGCGAGCTGAGCGGGAGGACCCGACTGCGTCGCCCGGGCTTAAAAAGTACTCGAGGCCGAGGGGTGCCGCCGGGACCAATCACAGCCGAGAGCTGCGTGAGTGGAGTGCGAGCCAGCCAATCAGAGGACTGGAAGAGAAGCTTCCCGTTCCAAACTCTTCCCTGTAGCCTCCGGACCCAGATCCCAGGGCTGGAGCGCTGCAGGGTGAAAAGGCTGAATGGTGCCCTCAAGACCAGAACGAGTGCTAGCAGCGCGGTCGCGGACGGTGTTTTTAAGTAAATACTGTCGGTACTTATCCCAGAGGAAATATTGGCGGCCTTTTAGATGCCAAGTACTAAAAGGATCACAGAAAAGAGAGATTTAAGAGGCAGTCCCCTGCCAAGAATGCAATCAGCCTAATAATGTTCATAAATTTACAGTATTTATTGAAACTCTTCTAGGCCAGAAAGTGTATTACAGAGATACAAACAGGACACTGATGGGTTAAAAAAAGAAAGAAAAACCCCTGTCCTGAAGGAGGTCAGGTTCTGAGAGGCTTTGCTTGACCTTATAACCCTAGTTTTTTGTCAGCTCTAAATGAAAAGCACCCCGTGAAGTAGTTCACACTTTTATGATGGGTATCTCCTTGTAAAAAGAGAAAATTAAAAGGATAATAGAGTGACTTATGGAGGGTCACACAAAAATACACAATGGCAAGGCAGAATTCTACCCCAGAGAGTTGGGCGGTCTACCCAGGATTTAATGCACTGTGTAGGACAATATATTAAAATAACAAACAACTTTGTGTCTGGACTACACTCAGAAACAAGTGCCTTAACAGCTGTCCCCTCTGCTTTGCTGAGACAAGCTGTTTCTCAGCCAGTGACAGCACACCATCACCGGTGCCCTCTCTGGGGCATGGCCAGGATTCAGCTGCATCCCAGAACTGCAAGTATAAGTTAACTAACCTTAGAGAACAAATCTTTACACACTAAGTTCCAAGCCAATCATGAATTTCCTGAAAATTCTCTTACATCAGGAGTGCGTATCCTGCCTCATCCAGTGTAGACAACAGTCTCAGCTTTTAAAAGCTACATTTCTAGCCGGGCATGGTGGCACATACCTATAATCCCAGCCCTCAGGAGGCTGAGGCAGGAGGATCTTGGAGAGTTCAAGCCCAGCTTGGGCTGCAAGGTGAATTCAAAGCTAGCCTGAACTATACAGAGAGACCCTGTCTCAAAAAAATAAAAATAATAAAAACTTCATTTCTTTGGGACTCTAGCTTAGTGTTAGAGCACTTGTCTACTGTGTGCAAGGCCCTGGGTTTGATCTCTTGCACTGGGGGGGAAAAAAATCTCTACTCTCTTCAAAGAGGAAAGAGTCCTGAAACTCTGTCTTTCTCTTGCCAGGTAAGAATTTTAAGAGCGAAGAAAGCATCCCAAGATAATTGTAAACATCACTGACCACCAGACAACAGTATCACTGTTAAAGATATTTTCTGCACAGCTTCCAGCCTCTGTGCTGTCGAGACCCCTCTCTCTTCTCACTCCAGCTATTTACTTCCACCTCACCTCACTCCCAGTTTCTGATATTTACTTAAGCAAAAAGTTCTGTACCCATCCTTCCACTCCTTCCTCACCAGGCTGAGTTACAGGCCTCTCTTTGCTTATCCCAAAAATTATAGACAAGTTCTGCTCCACAAAAGGTTGTATGGGACATTCTCCATGACTGCTTACACTAAGAACCAGTAGGCTTGACAGTACGTTGTTTTCTTTTATAGGTCAGCCTGGGTCAGTTCTTAGTCATCAGCCAGAGCTGTGCACACTTGGGTGTGTAGCAAGGAGGATTCAACTCTTACACAGTGGGAAAAAAGCAAAATGAACGTTAGAGGACACGAGTGACCATTTTATTGAGAGAATAGCAAAATCAAAGTTAATGAACTTGAATGCTGTCACAGTTCCTAAGTTGTGAACATTCATGTAGGAACTGGTCTGGAATTCACTACCATTTTATTATTACCATAATAAAAAAAATAGCTAAAGTATAATATTGCTGAGCACAAGGCCCCATGCTTAAGCTCTTTACCTCCATCACTTAATCCTCAAATCAAATCTTTGAGGTAGATCCTGGTATTATAGTGGGGAAGTCAGAGGGGTCTATGGAGGGCTTCAGGCACTAGGAGACTCAGTAGCAGCTGCTTAGCAAATAGCTTAGAAATGTTTCCATCTCTACCAGTGTGAACCAAGTGAGTGTCAGCTCTGGAAGCATTCCTAATGACTTTTAATTATTCTTGTTGTTGTATAATTATTGCTGTAAATACATTTCATTTATAGTACTCCATTTTGCAGGAAGATGTACAAGAAATAGTACAGGCAAGAAGGTGTGACCTTGAAATAGTGATTTTTGCGCATTGAGACCTCTGTCTTCTCATCTGTAAAATGAAGGGGTTGGATCAGGTAAATTGTAGTTGTTTGCTATTCTAAAAGAACAAACTTAGCCAGCTTGACACAGCACTGACATTAACTACCAAGATGAAATATGGAAAAATGATGTATATAGTCAAATCCAAGAAGTGTTTCAAGTTATTTCTGAGCCAAGGCCTTAAATAGAAATTCTACAGCTACACATTAAAAAGCCAGAGCTAATCTTCCCCATCAAAAGAGTAAAAGAAGTGATTGATTTAAAGGCTAATGAAACTAGGCATACTTTCTCCCCCTGTGACTCACCTCCATGGCTGAAATTTGTCTTCTTCAGTGGGCTAAAGTAGCATATTCTAGGCACTATTGATTTCTCATTCGCTATCCACTCCCTTTTCCTTCCTTATTAATAGAGTTTCTTGTTTTTATTTTTATTTGTTTGTTTTTTAGGGAACCGCCCAAACTCCAGCTACAGAAGGCCAACTCGATTAACCTGAGTCAATCAGTAAATGGATTCCCAGAATCATAGAGACTTACAGTGCTTACCTTCTCCTTCCAAGCATTAAGAAGATTACACTTTCCCACAGCCGCCCCAGACAGCCCCTCCCGTGCAGTTGGGCTGGACCACGTGACTAGTTACAGGCACTAGTCTATAGCAAGTTGTGGGTAGACGTGAGTGTCTTTACAAGGTGTGATAAAAATACAGGAAATGCTGCTGTCAAGTGCGATCCAACAGAAAAGCAGTCTTGCAAAAACATTATAATGTGTCCTCATCCACCTTATTTACCAGATCTGGCTTCGTGTAACTTCTGACTCTTCCCCAAAGGCAAAAATGACCATAAAAAGTAGCCATTTTGAATCAATTCGGGACATCCAGGTAGCTACAACAGAACAACTAAAGATGCTCGCAAAAGGACTTCCAGAGCTGTTTCAGAGAGTGGCCAGAATGATGGGATAGAGAGGGGCAGTATTTCAGGCAGATTGATGAGACTAAGTCTTGCACTGTAATAAATTTCAACATTCACTGTATTTTTCGATCACACCACCTATGTGTCACTTTCAGGCAGAGCACTTAATTGTCAGGGTAAGTCCTCAGCGTGTGTTCCCCCCCAGCCTCAGGACCAGTATGGCTGATGAGAGTCAAACTCTCTTAGCCTAGGCTCCCCAACAAGCACAAAGAAAAGCAGCCAACACTACCCCACCACCCACCCCCAGTTAGTTAGAGTAATAAACCTTAGTTGTTTAAGCCACTGAGGTTTGGTGTGTTCTTCACTGCAGTATGACCTTGAATCCAGGTTATGTGTGACATACTAGAATCAGAATATTCCTAGACTGGCACATACTAGAATCTGGCACATACTAGAATCAGAATATTCCTAGACTGTCCTAATGAATATACCTGAAAACCATTATCCCCCTGGGGTAAGTCAGCCCCATCAGACTGAGGGAAGGATTTACTAGTTCATGCTGAAGGAAGGGGATTCTCTCCTGCCAGGTATGAATAGGTCAGCCTATAAACTGGATTGCCACAACCAACAATATCACAACCACAACAGACACTGACATTAAAATGAAGAGAACATACCGAGGATAGCATAGACAGAGTAACCCTTTTTTTTGTTGTTTTTTTTT